ATCACAAAGTTGTTGTTGTTCAAGATTCGCTACTTGGAACAAACAGTTCCAAGTAGCACGGGCTATGGTGAGCCCGTAAAATCCCAAAGGAGGTAATAAAGCAGATGCAAAACACTATAGACCAATAACCCTAACATCACACATCATCAAAATCTTTGAAAGAACGTTAAGAAATATGGTCATTAATCTCATGGAATCACAAGATAATCCCAGAAAACACAGTCTGAGAACGGCGCTTCTGCCTCTCACAGTTGCTAGATCACTATCACATGGTCTTATAAGTGCCGTAGAAGACAAGCAAAACACATATGTAATATACACAGACTTCACAAAAGCTTTCGACATATGTGACCTCGGTGTTATTGAGCACAAAATGCGTGCAAAAGGAATGGCTGGCAAAGTAGATCAAAGTAGACAAAAGTAGATCAAAGTAGATCAAAGTAGACAAAGTAAAGATGGATCTTAAACTTCCTAATGAACAGACCTCAAGAGTGTAATAGTCAAGTAATATCATCTACCATGAAGGGCTCAGTTCCCCCAAGGGTACATGTGCTCAGTCTCCCCCTAAGGTACATGTGCTCAGTCCCCCCAAGGGTACGTTTGAGTGTCACATGATGGGGCCCAAGAGCTGCACCACAACAATGTCTTAAGTTGAGCAATTTAAGTCTGTCGTAAGATAGTCGCATATAATTTTCACGTGGGTATTAAGCACTTATGTTGTGGGCGGCGGTGAAACGTCACCACTTTATATATATATATACACTATATATATATATATATATATATATATATATATATATATATATCATATATATATATATATATATGAGAGAAGAGAGAGAGAGAGAGAGAGAGAGAGAGAGAGAGAGAGAGAGAGAGAGAGAGAGAGAGAGAGAGAGAGAGAGAGAGAGAGAGAGAGAGAGAGAGTGTGTGTGTGTGTGTGTGTGTGTGTGTGTGTGTGTGTGTGTGTGTGTGTGTGTGTGTGTGTGTGTGTGTGTGTGTTTAACACATAACGACACATCCCCACAAATCTGGCCCCACCCCTACATGTCTAGCCACACCCCAACATACCTGGCCACACCCACAAACCAGGCCACGCCCACAAACCAGCCCAACCGCCACGCCCACAAACCAGGCCACGCCCACAAACCAGGCCACGCCCACACAAACATTAGCTTAACAACGCAATATGAAAAACAGAGGGAAGGGGAGCCGGTGATTCATAACTCGCGGGGGAAGAGAGTGTCAACCCTCGCCGCCCCTCTTCCACAAGGCGGAGGGGCAGCAGGCGGACCAACGGGGCGTCGACCTTATGACACAAACCCCCCCTCTGGATGCGCCCTGGATATTAAAACGCCCATCGACATGCTTGCTGGCCTCTCTCTTCCCTTCTCCAACCCTCCCTTCCATCCCATATCTCTCCCTCTCTCCCATCCCCTATCTCTCCCTCCCATCCCCCTATCTCTCCCTCCCATCCCCTATCTCTCCCATCCCCTATCTCTCCCCCATCCCCCTATCTCTCCCTTCCATCTCCTATCTCTCCCTCTCTCCCATCCCCATATCTCTCCCTCTGTCCCATCCCCTATCTCGCGAACTCCACTTCTGAAACGTATATTTCAGAGACCGAGAGAAAAGATGGGAAGGAAGTGGAAAAGAATAAACGACCGGAGGTCTTAGACAATCCTTCCCATCCACCCCCCATGGGTTAAAAAGTCTCCCCCCTCCCTCCCCCCACGTGGGTTAAAAAGCCTCCCCCCCCACTCCCATGGGTTAAAAAGCCTTCCCCCCCCCGCCCCCCGTGGGGTTAAAAAGCCTCCCCCCCTACGTGGGGTTAAAAAGCCCCCCTTCCGCCCCCCCTCAAACTACTCTTGTGGCCTCGGAAGAGGTCGTCCCATCACCTGCAGGTCGCCCAAGTCAAAACTTTCTCTGACCTGCTGTACCTTCCATACCGCACTCCCCCCCGTCACTTCTTTCCCATCTGTTCCTCCGCATGTTACTGTCTCCCACCTGTTCCTTCACACGCTCCCCTCTCCCACCTACACTATTCCACCTGTCCTGTTCTACGTAAATACCTTCTACCATCACTGAAACATTAAATCACTTAAAATTTTCCCATTCTATTTCTTCTACGTTCCGTCAAGAATGTGACACCTTCAGAAATATAAACTTCGGCACTCGGGACACACTTACAGGCGCGCTAACACCTCGTCCAATGATAAAGTCCTTATTCATTGTGTCCCAGAGGCCAGATTCACGAAGCAGTTACGCAAACGAACCTGTACATCTTTTCTCAATCTTTGGCGGCTTTGTTTACAATTATTAAACAGTTAATGAGCTCCGAAGCACCAGGAGGCTGTTTATAACCATAACAACTGCTGATTGGCAAGTTTAAATGCTTGTAAACGGTTTAATAAATGTAAACAAAACCGTCAAAGATTGAGGAAAGATGTACAGGTTCGTAAGTATTTGGGTAACTGCTTCGTGAATCTGGCCCCTGGTCTGCCACCTTCCCTCTGGGTCAACAGAGAGCCATCAAACAACTGTGAACTCAAAGTCGAATTCACTTGAATGTTGATTACTGTTGTTCAGCTCTCTAGTTGAACACGGGTGTAGGGAGTCTCTGTTGATCGCTGGTGCATGTGAACAATGTGGTGTTCTTCATTGTGTTCTAGGGAATGAACATGGTGCTGGGAGTGAGGCTACTTAATACCTTCTCCTTGCAAATGAAGTGCAAGACAGTCGGAGTGAACAAATCCGAACAACAAAGAACAACAAAGAGTGAACAAATGGGATGCTCCCGGACGCAGGTTCGAATCCTCGTCACGGCCCTTGCGGATTTGTTCATTTGATGCATCACGTTAGTGTGATCTCTGTGTGTGACAGTCGGAGTGTTCGTGATGTGCTTAATATAGTGTACATTTCAGAGCACACAGTGTACAGAAATGCAATTGTATTAACATACTATATTAGTACACTTCAGTTTATGAACAAATCCACAAGGGCCGTGACGAGGATTCGAACCTGCGTCCGAGAGCATCCCAGACGCTGCCTTAATCTGGCCCCTGGAACTTAAGAGAGTATAATGACTTAAGAACCATTACAAATAGGTTCAGTATAATACAGACTTGGAGATTTGAGACAAGACAACACTCCTTAAAAGAATCTTGTGCCTGCAAGATAACGTAAGGTTGAGGGTTGATATATGTTAAACCGCCTTGTTTGACAAACTGTTCACTTGAGACAGTTAAGCAAGTCCCAGCTGCTTCTGAATACAAGTGACAAGATGATCAACACGGTGAGTTGTCTTCCTACTGAGAAAGAGAGAGAGAGAGATGCTGCACATGTTGGTACGGCGATGTGTTCACTCCCATGATGAACATCTCTGCTCAAGACACACTTTCATCCGCTCAAACGATTATAGCAATATTTCTCAATTCTTTCCTTAGGGAAGCTAGTTCACTCGTGTTAATCTACACGACTTGTCGGTACCTGGCCTCTCTTTCCTCGTCAGTGCTTCCTATAATGGCTCGGGTTTGTTATTATTATTATTGATCAAGGTAACGTCTACTACCTGTCCATGTAGCGGGAATGTCCAGGGACCAGATTCACGAAAGCAGTTACACAAGCACTTACGAACCTATACATCTTTTCTCAATCTTTGGCGGCTTTGTTTACAATTATTAAACAGTTAATGAGCTCCGAAGCACCAGGAGGCTGTTTATAACAATACCAACAGTTGATTGACAAGTTTTCATGCTTGTAAACTGTTTTAATAAATGTAACCAAAGCCGTCAAAGATTGAGGAAAGATGTACACGTTCGTAAGTGCTTGCGTAAGTGCTTTCGTGAATCTGGCCTTTGGTGTAGACTCTGGTTAACAGTTTACGCTCACTGTCTGTGGTGATCCAGTCACTATACACAGGACTGCTCGCCTCTACTCACTCTACTCCACCTTACACCTCCTCTTATTTAATCAAACATTTTCTTTTGTCGAGTAAGCAGAGGAGATGACTGACTCCCTACTGTAACCTGGCGTGGGCAGGGGAGGGGTGACGGAGAGGGGGGCAGGGGTGACGGAGAGGGGGGCAGGGGTGACGGAGGGGGGCAGGGGTGACGGAGATGGGGGAGGGGTGACGGAGAGGGGGGAAGGGTGACGGAGAGGGGGGGGGGGAGGGGTGAAGGGTGACGGAGAGGGGGGCAGGGGGGCAGGGGTGACGGAGAGGGGGGGCAGGGGTGACGGAGAGGGGGGCAGGGGTGACGGAGAGGGGGGCAGGGGTGACGGAGAGGGGGGCAGGGGTGACGGAGAGGGGGGCAGGGGTGACGGAGAGGGGGAGGGGTGACGGAGAGGGGGGGCAGGGGTGACGGAGAGGGGGGCAGGGGTGACGGAGAGAGGGGGCAGGGGTGACGGAGAGAGGGGGGCAGGGGTGACAGAGAGGGGGGGCAGGGGTGACGGAGAGGGGGGGCAGGGGTGACGGAGAGAGGGGGGAGCAGGGGTGACGGAGAGGGGGGCAGAGGTGACGGAGAGAGGGGGGCAGCGGTGACGGAGAGAGGGGGACAGGGGTGACGGAGAGAGGGGGGGGGCAGGGGTGACAGAGAGGGGGTGTAGGGTGTACACAACATGCCCAGAGACTGAGCGCCTCTTGTGCCCAGCTCGCCCCGGAAATACAACAGGTTCATAACTCGTCCCCCCCCCCCCCCCCCAAAAAAAAAAAAAGTTGTGCTGTTGTTGTTGTTAAAGATTCGCTACTTGGGACAAAAAGCTCCAAGCAGCACGGGCTATGGTGAGCCCGTAGTGGACTTTTTTCTTTGAAAGTTGTGCACAGTTCCAGTGCTAATGAGCAATTAACAATAGTCAAATTTGGGTTATTTGACAGGGCAAGTTGCAATATTTAAGTAACATATAAAGTTATGTCATTGTGCATGAAATATTTGGACATTTCCGAGAACTTTTGTGCAGAAATTGGCCATAAATTCTCGGATTATTTCTCATTCGAGTGCATAATGGTGCAAATAATTCCAAGGACCAAGTTGACCTTTGGCGCTATGTTCGTGAACTTGGAGGACCAGCTGGAGGAACAGCTGGGGCCTGGAGGACCAGCTGGAGGACCAGCTGGAGCCTGGAGGACCAGCTGGAGGAACAGTTGGGGCCTGGAGGACCAGCTGGAGGAACAGCTGGGGCCTGGAGGACCAGCTGGAGGAACAGTTGGGGCCTGGAGGACCAGCTGGAGGAACAGCTGGGGCCTGGAGGACCAGCTGGAGGACCAGCTGGAGCCTGGAGGACCAGCTGGAGGACCAGCTGGAGCCTGGAGGACCAGCTGGAGGAACAGCTGGAGCCTGGAGGACCAGCTGGAGGAACAGTTGGGGCCTGGAGGACCAGCTGGAGGAACAGCTGGGGCCTGGAGGACCAGCTGGAGGACCAGCTGGAGCCTGGAGGACCAGCTGGAGGACCAGCTGGAGCCTGGAGGACCAGCTGGAGGAACAGCTGGAGCCTGGAGGACCAGCTGGAGGAACAGTTGGGGCCTGGAGGACCAGCTGGAGGAACAGTTGGGGCCTGGAGGACCAGCTGGAGGACCAGCTGGAGCCTGGAGGACCAGCTGGAGCCTGGAGGACCAGCTGGAGGAACAGTTGGGGCCTGGAGGACCAGCTGGAGGAACAGCTGGGGCCTGGAGGACCAGCTGGAGGAACAGTTGGGGCCTGGAGGACCAGCTGGAGGAACAGCTGGGGCCTGGAGGACCAGCTGGAGCCTGGAGGACCAGCTGGAGGAACAGCTGGGGCCTGGAGGACCAGCTGGAGCCTGGAGGACCAGCTGGAGGAACAGTTGGGGCCTGGAGGACCAGCTGGAGGAACAGCTGGGGCCTGGAGGACCAGCTGGAGGAACAGCTGGGGCCTGGAGGACCAGCTGGAGGAACAGCTGGGGCCTGGAGGACCAGCTGGAGGAACAGCTGGGGCCTGGAGGACCAGCTGGAGGAACAGCTGGGGCCTGGAGGACCAGCTGGAGGAACAGTTGGGGCCTGGAGGACCAGCTGGAGGAACAGTTGGGGCCTGGAGGACCAGCTGGAGGACCCGCTGGAGCCTGGAGGACCAGCTGGAGGAACAGTTGGGGCCTGGAGGACCAGCTGGAGGAACAGCTGGAGCCTGGAGGACCAGCTGGAGGAACAGCTGGGGCCTGGAGGACCAGCTGGAGGACCAGCTGGGGCCTGGAGGACCAGCTGGAGGACCAGCTGGAGCCTGGAGGACCAGCTGGAGCCTGGAGGACCAGCTGGAGGAACAGTTGGGGCCTGGAGGACCAGCTGGAGGAACAGCTGGAGCCTGGAGGACCAGCTGGAGGAACAGTTGGGACCTGGAGGACCAGCTGGAGCCTGGAGGACCAGCTGGGGCCTGGAGGACCAGCTGGGGCCTGGAGGACCAGCTGGGGCCTGGAGGACCAGCTGGGGCCTGGAGGACCAGCTGGGGCCTGGAGGACCAGCTGGGGCCTGGAGGAACAGCTGGAGCCTGGAGGACCAGCTGGGGCCTGGAGGACCAGCTGGAGCCTGGAGGACCAGCTGGGGCCTGGAGGACCAGCTGGGGCCTGGAGGACCAGCTGGGGCCTGGCGGGTAGCTGGGTGAGTGAACATGAGGCTGGTATGAGTGTTATTATGTGTCAATAGTCCTCACCTACTGGTAGGAAAGTGAGAGAGAGAGAGAGAGAGAGAGAGAGAGAGAGAGAGAGAGAGAGAGAGAGAGAGAGAGAGAGAGAGAGAGAGAGAGAGAGAGAGAGAGAGAGAGAAGAGCAACGATCATATACAAAGTTGAGTTTTAACGTGCCATGTACCCTGTACCCTTAGAGCAGGGGGGGGGAGCTGGGCCTGGGGTACCCCCAGTGGGATGGGCACTCCCCCCTTCCCTCTCACTGCCCCCCTGAGATGACTCTTGCCTTAACACACCAGCTGTCTATCTATCAAGGTCACATTCCCTCCCCCAGGTCTTGCGACGCGTCCCTCCCCCCTCCCCCAGGTCTTACGAGGTGTCCCCCCCTCTCCCCCAGGTCTTGCGAGGCGTCCCTCCCCCTCCCCCAGGTCTTGCGACGCGCCCCCCCCCCTCCCCCAGGTCTTGCGAGGTGTCCCCCCCTCTCCCCCGGTCTTGCGACGCGTCGCACTAACCCCTGAATTCACAAACAACACTGAACAACAATGCGAAAATACCACTTTCCACAAAATTCTTCAAATAATATACATTGCAAAAACACCCACAAACCCCCCCCCCCCCCCCCCCAAGTCTATTATGCTTGACATATAATATACTATGACATACACTATGATACACTACGATATACTATGACATACACTATGATACACTACGATATACTATGACATACACTATGATACACTACGATATACTATGACATATACTATGATACACTACGATATACTATGACATACACTATGATACACTACGATATACTATGACATACACTATGATACACTACGATATAGCTATGACATATACTATGATACACTACGATATACTATACATACACTATGATACACTACGATATACTATGACATACACTATGATACCTACGATATACTATGACATACACTATGATACCACGAGTATATACTATACATACACTATGATACACTACGATATACTATGACATACACTATGATACACTACGATATACTATGACATACACTATGAGCCTATGCAACATACACAGCTGGAGGCAGAAGGGTTCAAGATCAACAGAACAAGGATCAAAATCCACGTAAAGGAGACAATAAAGCAAAAAAACAGACTTGAGGAAACCCGAAGGAGAAATCCGTAGCATTAGTACGACTAGTTAGACTTACACAAGACTCTAGTCTGGCGGCATTTCAATTACTCTCTCCATTACCTATATATGTCTTAAAGAAGACGTAATACTCAAAATCCACAGGCGGTGTAGAGGAGGTTTAAGAAGAGCAGCCAAACACCGTCCACCATATGACCAGACAAGCCCGGAGCTCAGTGAACTGCTCAACATACAGCCACTAAACACCAGACTACAGCACCAGGCCATCAGGGTGTGGAACACCAGTCTTATGTTAGATCACCCAATGTTAGACAAATTACTTCAAGATGTGACGCCCCGCTCCCACAGCTGGTGGCCCAAGATGAGACGCCCCACTCCCACGGCTGGTGGCCCAAGATGAGACGCCCCACTCCCACAGCTGGTGGCCCAAGATGAGACGCCCCACTCCCACAGCTGGTGGCCCAAGATGAGACGCCCCGCTCCCACAGCTGGTGGCCCAAGATGAGACGCCCCGCTCCCACAGCTGGTGGCCCAAGATGAGACGCCCCGCTCCCACAGCTGGTGGCCCAAGATGAGACGCCCCGCTCCCGCAGCTGGTGGCCCAAGATGAGACGCCCCGCTCCCACAGCTGGTGGTTCAAAAGCTCAAATCTACTTAACGAAAACATCGCCCACTATACATAATTCCCAGATGAAAACAGACCACAACTCCCTAACCCCCCCCCCCCCTAAACAAATACCCATTACCAGAACATTCAAATTACAAAAGAATTCCAATATGAATATACGAATGCTACACAGTATTCACATATACATCCAAATATGCTGAAATACACGTCAAGAACCTCTCTCTCACACACACACACACACACACACACACACACACACACACACACACACACACACACACACACACACACACACACATTAGGTTTGTGAACAAACATCAACATGGGTTCTGGACAGGGAAATCGTGCCTAACAAACCTTCTGGAATTCTATGATAAAATAACGAGGATAAGACAGGACAGAGATGGTTGGGCAGACTGCATATTTCTGGACTGCCAAAAAGCCTTTGATACAGTACCGCACATGAGACTGCTGTTCAAGCTCGAGAGGCAGGCGGGGGTGGGGGGAAAGGTCCTAGAATGGATAAGGAACTACCTAACAGGAAGGAGCCAAAGAGTTACGGTAAGGGGCGAAAAGTCGGACTGGCGAACAGTAACAAGTGGAGTACCACAAGGATCGGTGCTGGGACCAATTCTATTTCTTGTATATGTTAACGACATGTTTACAGGCGTAGAGTCCTACATGTCGATGTTTGCGGATGATGCAAAGTTGATGAGAAGAGTTGTGACAGATGAGGATTGCAGGATCCTCCAAGAGGACCTGAACAGATTGCAGAGATGGTCAGAGAAATGGCTACTAGAATTCAACACGAGCAAATGTAAAGTTATGGAAATGGGACTAGGAGATAGGAGACCAAAGGGACAGTACACAATGAAGGGGAACAGCCTACCTGTAACGACGCGTGAAAGAGACCTGGGGGTGGACGTAACACCTAATCTATCTCCTGAGGCACATATTAATAGGATAACGACAGCAGCGTACTCTACACTGGCAAAAGTTAGAACATCATTCAGAAACCTAAGTAAGGAGGCATTTAGGGCGCTTTACACTGCCTACGTAAGGCCAGTCTTAGAGTATGCCGCCTCATCATGGAGTCCCCATCTGAAGAAGCATATAATGAAACTGGAAAAGGTTCAGAGGTTTGCAACGAGACTCGTCCCAGAGCTACGAGGGATGGGGTATGAAGAGCGCCTGAGGGAACTGTGCCTTACGACACTAGAAAGAAGAAGGGAGAGGGGGGACATGATAGGAACGTATAAGATACTCAGAGGAATTGACAGAGTGGACATAGACGAAATGTTCACACGGAATAGTAACAGAACGAAGGACATGGATGGAAGCTTGAAACTCAGATGAGTCACAGAGATGTTAGGAAGTTTTCTTTTAGCGTGAGAGTAGTGGGAAAATGGAATGCACTTCAGGAACAGGTTGTGGAAGCAAATACTATTCATAATTTTAAAACCAGGTATGATAGGGAAATGGGACAGGAGTCATTGCTGTAAACAACCGATGCTCGAAAGGCGGGATCCAAGAGTCAATGCTCGATCCTGCAGACACAACTAGGTGAGTACAACTAGGTGAGTACACACACACACACACAGCTCCACGACAAGAGAGAGCAAGCTGAGCTTAGCTGACAACACACATTGTGTCAGCAAGGCGGACAGTCTGCCACCTGTAGTAACTCATGCTATATTTCC